AACACTTTTATCGTTAAAACCCTATTCACCCCCCTCTAGGGTTGCCATACCGATCCAACAATTGGTATCAGAGCAGGTTGCTCCTATAGATTTTTTTATCTAAACTTTATTGTTCGAGCTTATGGCAAACCTACGTGTTAAAAATGGTTTTAGTGAAGGACAATCAACTTCTAGGCCACCTTATTTTGATGGAACAAATTATACATGTTGGAAAGCTAGGATGAAAATTTATTTGCAATCCGTTGATTATCAATTGTGGTTAAATGTTAGTAATGGTCCTTACATTCCAATAAAAATTGTTAATAATATTGAGGTGCCTAAATTAGAAAATGAATTTGATGAGCATGATATGAAAAAATGTTCTTTGAATGCTAGTGCTATCAATTGTCTGTATTGTGCCTTAAGTAATGATGAATTTAATAGAGTATGTATGTGTTCTTCGGCATATGAAATTTGGAAAACTCTTGAAGTAACTCATGAGGGAACCAATCAAGTTAAAGAAACAAAAATTAGCATGTTAGTTCATAATTATGAACTATTTAAAATGGAGGAAAATGAACCTATTGGTGATATGTTTACTAGATTTACTAATATTTTAAATGCTTTGAAAAATCTTGGAAAAGTATATTCTACCTCCGAAAATGTAAGAAAAATTCTTAGGTCTCTGCCTAAAAGTTGGGAGGCAAAAGTGACGGCGATTCAAGAAGCAAAGGATCTCACAAAGCTTCCTTTGGATGAACTCATTGGTTCTCTCATGACACATGAGATTACCATGAACGGGCACATGGAAGAAGAATCCAAAAAGAAGAAAAGTATAGCCCTAAAATCCATCAAAGTTGACTCTGAAGATGAGGACGTCCTTGATGAAGATGATGTCGCCTACTTCACACGTAAGTATAAAAATTTTATTAAAAGGAAGAAACAATTAAAAAAACATTTCACAAATCAAAAAGAGTCAAAAGGTGAAAAGAGCAAAAACGATGAGGTAATATGTTATGAATGTAAAAAGCCGGGTCATATAAGAACGGATTGTCCTCTCCTCAAATCATCTAAGAAATCCAAGAAGAAAGCAATGAAGGCTACTTGGGATGATAGTGATGAAAGTGCAAGTGGAAGTGATGAAGAAGTTGCAAATTTTTGCTTCATGGCTCATAGTGACAAAGAGGATGAACAAGAAGATGAACAAGAAGATGAGGTAACTCTTGAATCTCTTTCTTATCATGAATTATTTAAACTTGTTGATGAGATGACAATTGATTTAGAAAAACTTAGTTCAAAGTATGTTGTGCTTAAAAAGAAATATAAGACTTCAATTATTGAAAATAAGTCTTTGCTAAATGAAATTTCTTGCTTGAAGGAGAAGGATCATAATATTGTTAAAATTGATGTACCTTGTGAAAAGCATGTATTTGATTGTGATGAGAAAAATGCATTAATTGATAAAGTCAAGACTCTTGAGCATGATTGTGGTGAAAAAGATAAATTAATTAAATTGCTCAAAGAGAATGAATCAAATAATTTGCAAGAACTTGGTAGGGCTAAGGAATCTATTAAAATGTTAACAATAGGTGCTCAAAAATTAGATAAAATACTTGAAGGAGGTAAGTCATATGGTGATAAAAGAGGATTAGGCTATATTGATGAATGTTCTACACCTTCAAGTTCTAAAACAATCTTTGTTAAAGCATCCCCTATCTTGCCTAAATCTAACACATGTAAATTTGTATCTAAGTATGATAAATCTAGATTTGTGCCTATATGTCATTATTGTGGTGTTGAAGGTCATATTAGACCTAAGTGCTTTAAATTGAAAAATTCTCAAAATATTCATTTAGGAAGAAAAGTTTCTCAAAATACAAAGTTTAACAATGTTTTAGAAAATAATTTTTCGAATAAAAATAGAATACACAAATTTAGTCCAAGAAATAAATTCTTGCATAATGTCGTTTGTTTCTCGTGTGATAAGTTTGGACATAAAGATTATTCTTGTTACTTATCTAAATACAATGTCTTTAATATGAATGCAAATATGAAATGGATTCCTAAATTTGTGAATACTAACTTTCTAGGACCCAAACAAGTATGGGTACNGTATAAAAATTTTATTAAAAGGAAGAAACAATTAAAAAAACATTTCACAAATCAAAAAGAGTCAAAATGTGAAAAGAGCAAAAACGATGAGGTAATATGTTATGAATGTAAAAAGCCGGGTCATATAAGAACGGATTGTCCTCTCCTCAAATCATCTAAGAAATCCAAGAAGAAAGCAATGAAGGCTACTTGGGATGATAGTGATGAAAGTGCAAGTGGAAGTGATGAAGAAGTTGCAAATTTTTGCTTCATGGCTCATAGTGACANCCAAGAAGGATGGTGGCTTAGTAACCTTTGGTGATAACAAGAAGGGTAAAATAATTGGTAAGGGTACCATAGGTAATGACTCTTGTACTCTCATTAAAAATGTATTGTTAGTTGATGGTTTAAAGCATGACTTACTTAGCATTAGTCAATTATGTGATAAAGGTTTTAGAGTTGTATTTGATAAGAATAATTGCATAATTGAAAATGCTAGTGATAGAAAAGTTTTGTTTGTAGGAAATAGAGACGATAATGTGTATACTATTGATTTGAATGATTGTCCTACAAATGATAAATGTCTTTCGGTTTTGATTGATAACTCTTGGCTATGGCATAGAAGACTAGGACATGCTAGTATGTACTTGATTTCAAATATTTCAAAAAATTCATTAGTGAGAGGTCTCCCTCAACTTAAATTTGAAAAAGATAAAGTTTGTGACGCTTGTCAAATGGGTAAGCAAACTAAGTCTTCTTTCAAATCTAAAAATATGATTTCTACTACTAGACCTCTTCAACTACTCCATATAGACTTATTTGGCCCTTCTAAAATAGCTAGTTATGGAGGAAATTATTATGCTTTTGTGATAGTGGATGATTTTTCAAGATTTACTTGGGTTTTGATGATAAAACATAAGAATGATGTTTTGAAAAGATTTGCTAGTTTTGTAAAAAGAGTTCAAAATGAAAAAGGGTTTTTAATTACTAAAATTAGGAGTGACCATGGGGGAGAATTTAACAGTGTTGCCTTTGAAAAATTTTGTGAAGATAATGGTTTTTCTCATGAATTCTCCTTTCCAAGGACTCCTCAACAAAACGGTGTGGTTGAAAGGAAAAATCGTACTTTACAAGAATTTGCTAGATCAATGTTAAATGAGTATGATTTACCTAAATATTTTTGGGCGGAAGCCGTTAATACCGCTTGTTATATTTTAAATAGAGTTTTAATTAGACCTTCATTAAATAAAACTCCTTATGAACTCTGGCATAACAAAATTCCAAATGTTGGGTATTTCAAAGTTTTTGGTTGTAAATGTTTTATTTTGAACAACAAAGAAAAGCTTGGAAAGTTTGATTCAAAAACGGATATTGGTATTTTTCTTGGCTATTCATCTACTAGTAAAGCTTATAGAATTTTCAATAAGAGAACTTTAGTTATTGAAGAATCTATGCATGTGGTATTTGATGAATCTTGCAATAATATTTCTAATGAGTCTATTTGTAGTGATGATTTAGAAAGAAATTTTGGAGATTTACTCGTTAGTGACAACGGCAAAGAAATTGTTACGAGTAAAGAAGAGATGAGCTTAAAGGAAGAAGGTTCTTCATCAATGCCAAAAGAATGGAGGTATGCCTTGTCTCATCCCAAGGACTTGATTCTTGGTGATCTCGAACAAGGTGTGAAAACTCGCTCTTCTATTAATTTATTTAATAATCTTGCTTTTGTTTCTCAAATTGAACCAAAAAGTCTTAAGGATGCCGAAAATGATGAGTTTTGGATTTTAGCCATGCAAGAAGAGCTAAATCAATTTGAAAGGAACAAAGTTTGGGAATTAGTCCATAGGCCATCTAATACTTCTATTATTGGAACCAAATGGGTTTTTAGAAATAAAATGGATGAAAATGGGAATATCATTAGAAATAAAGCTAGGCTTGTAGCTCAAGGTTATTGTCAAGAGGAAGGCATAGATTATGAAGAAACTTTTGCACCCGTTGCTAGATTAGAAGCTATTAGAATGTTACTTGCTTTTGCTTCTTACAAAAATTTTGTATTATATCAAATGGATGTGAAAAGTGCATTTTTGAATGGTTATATTATGGAGGAAGTTTATGTAGAACAACCTCCCGGATTTGAAAATGTAGAATTTCCTCATCATGTCTATAAGTTGAAAAAGGCTCTTTATGGCTTAAAACAAGCTCCAAGAGCTTGGTATGATAGACTTAGTAATTTTCTTATTGGGAATGATTTTAAAATGGGCAAACTCGACACTACACTCTTTATTAAGATTAAAGAAAACGATATGCTATTAGTGCAAATATATGTGGATGATATCATATTTGGTTCTACTAATCCTTCTTTATGTGAAGAATTTTCTAAATGTATGCATAGTGAGTTTGAGATGAGTATGATGGGAGAACTCAGTTTCTTTCTTGGACTTCAAATCAAACAACTCAAGAATGGTATCTTCATCAATCAAGAGAAATACACTAAAGATTTGCTCAAAAGATTCAAGTTCAATGGAGGTAAGATTGCAAGAACTCCCATGAGCACATCCACTAAGCTTGACAAGGATGAAAAAGGTAAAAGTGTGGATATTAAAGCTTATCGAGGTATGATTGGATCTTTACTTTACTTGACCGCTAGTAGACCCGATATTATGTTTAGTGTATGTCTTTGTGCTAGATTTCAATCTTGTCCTAAGGAATCTCATTTACATGCCGTTAAGAGAATATTTAAATATTTGCTTGGAACTATTGATCTAGGATTGTGGTATCCTAGAAATGTTGAATTTAAATTGGTAGGATATTCTGATGCAGATTTTGCCGGAAGCTTACTTGATCGTAAAAGTACTAGTGGAACTTGTCAATTTCTTGGTAGTTCCTTAGTTTCTTGGTTTAGTAAAAAGCAAAATTCGGTTGCCTTATCTACTACCGAAGCGGAATATATTGCGGTTGCTAGTTGCTGTGCTCAAATTCTTTGGATGAAACAAACTCTTTGTGATTTTGGATTAAAGTTTCATAGTGTGCCTATATTTTGTGATAATACAAGTGCTATTAATTTAACTAAAAATCCTATTCATCATTCTAGAACTAAACATATTGACATTAGACATCATTTTATTAGAGAGCATGTGCAAAATGGACATATTATTCTTGATTTTGTAAACTCTAATAATCAACTGGCCGATATTTTCACCAAGCCATTGAATGAAGAAATTTTTTGCAAAAATAGGCTTGAGCTTGGTATTATTCGTTGTGATATATCTTGAATTTTATAATTTTTGAATGCATGTTTTTAGGGGGAGCCATTATGTCATTATTAAATGCATTCTCTTTCAATTGTTCATTTTGATGATTACAAAGGGGGAGAAAATTAAGAAAAATATGTTCTAAATTTGTTATTTTATAATTTATGAATCATTTACTTGGTGTTTCATAATTTCTTGAGGCATTAATATAAGGGAGAATATGCTCTTGAGTGAAATTTATGATAATATATTAGTATGTAGTGATATTATTACATGGATGTTGTATTATTGGTTTTTATGAATTTTTCTTTAAATGATTTGTCATCATCAAAAAGGGGGAGATTGTTGGCTTATTGGCCCTTGATCTCACATTAATTAATTTCAATGAATTAATTATTGATGTTTTGATGATAACAAACCTACTTTTAATTATTAACTATTTTCAGTTTTTTGAACTGTCCACAGTATAAGGTCGGGAATAACGATTACAACAACTTTTCAATTACTCAAATCAGAGCTAAAACGAAGAAATTAGAGTCGAGACAACATACCCGACGTGATGATGTGGCAACAAAATCAAAATGATGGACAAATCAAAATATATCAAAGTATGACATTTATAATATTGGAAGAGTAACACATGGTGGAGTTTTTCTTATTATTACATTTCTAAATAAAATTATTTTTACAAATATAAATTTGAATATAACCGTTACTCACATCGAATTTTATTATTACTATATTATATTATTATATTATTATATTTTAAAATTTTGGTAGTTACTCACATCATTTTTATTATTATTATATTATTATATTTATAATAAATTTTGAATTACATTTTACCGTTACTCACATAACTTTTTATTATTATTATATTATATTACTATTATATTAAAATTTTGAAATAAATGAATTTAGAAAATTTTCTTACTTAATTACTTTTAATCTCCACCTTCCATTATTCCTAACACAATCCAATGGTCAATATTCAATCCTACATTTTGCCACTTTTCTCCTCTATATAAACTCATCTTCCCCACATTTTTAAAACATACAACTTACATACATTCTTCAATCCTCATTTGTTCAAAGTCTCCATTGTTTATTGCTCTCTCCAAGCTTACAAGTTTATTTCTTTTCATCTTATTCTTGAGAGGGATTATTATTATATTGTGAGGAAATAGTTGTCAGTATCCCAAATTGTAAATCTACTCTTTGAGAGAGTTGTGGTGTGTTATTATCAAACTCAAATACTTGTATCGGTTTGATCCTGCGTCGTTGAAAGGATTGAGTTTGCTCTTGAACTCGTAAAAAGAGCGGTGTACCGGTTTGGCTCTGATCCGTGGAAAGAGTCGGAAAAGTTCTTTATTCAAATTCCCAAGAGGCGCTTGGGGAGTGGAGTAGGTCGAGTTTGACCGAACCACTATAAAACTACGGTGTCATTTTCTCTAACTCTTTCCTATTTAATTTCAAGATTATTATTATGTTTATTGCATGTTCTACTTGATTATTGTTTTGACTTGAATTATTTTGCTTTAGTAATTATCATCTTCTACTTATTTGTAAAAAGTTTTATCATTAGAAAAATTAATCAAGTTTAAACACTTTTATCGTTAAAACCCTATTCACCCCCCCTCTAGGGTTGCCATACCGATCCAACAAAACAAGGCATAACCGAATGTATTTTCCTGATCATTTTTTGTTCAATGATAATTGTACACCCTCACATTATTGGCCCAAATATGTCATGATGTAGACCACTCAAAAAAAACAAAACTTACCGCCAAGGAAAAGAGTAAACAGAACTTATCCACCTACTACCAAAACCATTTGCTGCGCAAACAACCTTGAGAAAATCTCACCAGATTATCTGCTTTCTCAAGATCTGTTTCAAAACCCCCACCCTTTTGCCTTTTTCTTCCCCCAGTCTTCCAAAACTTCATTTGCAATACGAAGATAATCCACAATTTGTCAAACTCCGGTAAAGGATTTTGAAAGCAACATACTCTAAACATTGTCCTTTCCCCCAGTCTTTTGTACTTCCCTCAACAAATTTTGCAGTAATTTCAAGTCTCATTCACCAAGGAAATAGCTCTAAAATCCTTGACCTGCACCACCTCTTCCGTCTTTTCAATCAAGCAAATGAAGTTCTCTTTAGGCTCACAATTTTTTTAAAAAAAATGTTACAAACAAACTACTTCCTCTTAAATACCTTTTCATAGTGATTTCTCTAACTTCTATTCGAATCTAATTATTCCAAATTGGGAATGTATTTTTCAATCCCCTTCGGCCAGGGGTTTGAGAGGGAGGTACCCCATCTCTTACCCTCCCTTTTGTACCCAGCTCTTCTGGATTCGTGAAATTATCTGTCTCTAATCCCAAAAAGTACACATCTCAATTATGCTTCCTATTTTAAGTCTAAAAGCCTACGTACTCTGCAACCCAATTCATCAAAGTTCATAGATAAACTATTGATTATCCCCGCGACCAATCCAATGCCATTGATTAGTCAAGTTAGAATACTGTGTAGCTAAAGGATACTTCAATTGAATTTAAAAGCACTCCTCAGAACTAGTAACCATCAATTTTATACTAATACAACTACACAACAGCTAGCTAAAATCATCCAAAACAAAGCCAACAGTGCCATCAGTTACCTCCGGACGATCCGAAGTGGTATGAAGAAGTCCAAGCGATCTAGCCGACCTCACCGAGCTCAAAATCTTCTCCCCAACCTTGGACAAGTCCATTCCACCTCCTTGCAGCAGAAAAAACGGAACAAAGAACAGAAACCTGGAAGTCTCGAATCCTTCGCTCAAATCACCCTCGAACGCCAAAGGGTTTCCGAGAACACTGCCAAATGGAAACAGATTTGGCTGCATTTCACATCAGGTTCATAAGTTCATGCCGCCTTGTGTCGCACATTTGATGCGACAACACTCCCCCGAAATCCGATCTGTTGAATCTACAGAGATCGGGCTGCAATTGATCTGTTTCGTATGTGTTAGTCGACCCAACAAGGTTCGAGAAGTGCAAGTGAGGAAGATGGTGTAAATTTTTCTGTTAATTTGTTGTCTTATCTGCTGTTTGGTAGACTTTAGGCAAGTCCCGAATCTTGACTGATTTCAGCGGCGAGAGTCCGCGACGGCATTGGCAACCATTAAGCCAAAGCTCAATATCTAACATGTCACTCCCATAGTCAATCCAGCCCAGACTAGTTCTAACTTAGTTAGATTAGTTCAACTTAGTTCTTGTTGTTGAAAATTATTGGGAGTGTGTCTCAAGATGCGTTAATTGAGTGGAAGATCATGAATTTATAAGCGAAGAATACTATGTTAATTGGTATAAGGTCTTTTGTGAAAACACAAAGCAAAGCCAAGAGTTTATGCTCAAAGTGGACAGAGTCATGCCCTAAGCTTAGTAGTACCAATAGATTGGTAGATTAGTAAATCTTCAAATGTCAAACAAAAGACTCCAAAAGAAAAGGAGTCGAGCCTCGATTAAGAGGAGACGTACTTTGTTCGAGGGGAGATGTTGGATGATGAAAGTCCCACACCGACTTATTAACTGTTCGAAATCTTTCCGTTATTGCAAAAGAAAGTAAATAAAAATAAAAACATTTACTTTTTTTTTCAACTTATCTTTTTAATACTAAAAAATTCTTAATTTATTTAGTACAAAAATAGTTAAATTTCATTAGCAAAGAGTAGAAGTTAGAATTAAATCACTAGTAGGTCGAAGGCATTGAAGTAAGAATTCAAGCCATTTAACTTCGATGATGGAACGACTTATAAGTTTGATTACGAATCAACCTTGATTGCTTCTAACGTGCAAATTCTAAACTACAAAATAATTACATATGAATTGATATGGAAATCAACCCAAGGGAAAGTTTAGAACGGATTACCTTCATGATCAAGATCAAGCTCAAGAGTAAAGAAAACTCGTTTCTAAACTCGTGATTCGAATCACTACACAAGAGGTTTGATCAATACCACTTGAATGACTCTAGCATGCAAGTTCTAAACACAAGAATTTGCAAACAAATTTTAGCTCTCAACAAAGCTTAAATAGCAATTTTATTCTTAATTTCAAAATCTGATGTAGAAAATAAGACTAGTTAATGCTAGAATACAGTAATCTATGTGGGTTACAATATATTATTAACTCTTATATTTAAAACTTCTTAAATATGACAAACAAATAGTTAAATTATAATTAAATAATGCAATTAATAAAATGTGATTATTAGTCATCCATGGAAACTCAGATAAGTTCATTAAATGCAACTTAAAGTGCATTTAATTCATCTCTTTCTTGAAGCTCAACTTTGCATAACATATAAAGGAGGTCTCCAACGTCTTCTAGAATTTCCTTTGATGAGCTCACCATAGCTTGAATATAACTGTATAAGGTTTGTTGTAGCTTCTTGGCTCTCGTCTTTATAATTAGACCTTGAGGTATAGAAATTCCTTGGTCGTGGTTCATATCATGAATTTTCTTGTGCACAAAGTAATAGACGAGTCAAAGATTTAATTTAAAATATACGAGTTATTTCTTAAAATACTCAAGCAATGTGCTACTCGTACATTTTAGGTCAAGACAAGCACCCCTATATGGATGACTGAGCATGAAGACCATGGATCGGGTGTTAGGGTTCATCTTATTTTATTAGTCTTAGATTAGAATAGGGTAATGTGTTGTTTTCTAGTTTTTGGACATTTTGTTTATTTTGTTTCTTATATGTTTTTTGGATTGATTTAATGATTTTATTTTTAACGTGTAAGTCCATGACATCGTTTATGAACTATTTAAAATGAATTTTTCTGCATAAAAAGGTCACGTCATACATATGGTAGGACTCTATTTCAGTAGAAAAATAGGGTCATTATAGTACCACCACTAGGTAGTTTTTGAATTGTGTTATCTACAGGCTTTGCCTTAATTTGAGAATGTTTCATAAGTATCTCGTATGCAATCGTGCCTGTGGAACTGGAGTTTAACTCTTCAAAATCTAGATAACTTATTCGAGGGTATGTTCTTATTATCATGGTGTCTGGTTCTTCTTTTATCAAGACTGAGATAGAGTAGGCCATCATTTGACCCAACTACGGTTGCTTCGAACTCTAAGGTTCTCTAGTCTATCACGACAGTTCCGTAAAACATTATTCTTGTGGACATATTTGGTTTCCAAAAGTTACAATTGCGGGAGATTGAGACGCATGTATCTCCTAGTCTTGTACCTCGTCTTAAGGTATCTTGTGCCCAATTTTATGAGTTGGACATCTCCCTCTCTGCGACAACTTAGTTATACAGTTACTGTTCGCTCTTTAGTGCCCTATGACATTATCATAATTAAACATCTCAGCTCGTAACCCAAATCTTACAATAAGTTTATACCGGTCTTACAACATTTCATATACCAATTTTCATGTTTAACTGGTTGCAGCGAGGTGTGCCATTGAGCTAAGTCACAGATGTGTACAACTCTCTACCTAGACAAGTCTATTGGACCTAAACTCTGACCACTCTAATAGGAATCTTCACGACTTGATTATTGAAACTTTAAATCTCGAATCATGACTAAAAAGACAGATAAAACAAATAAAATATAATATAATAGTAGAATACGGTCAAATTTACACCATTTAAAAGGAACAAACACAACAAAATTAAAAACAAATCCAAATCTAATATAAGACGATGTTGTTCAAGTTTATTGCAAACGGGGAATAGGCTTGAGGCATAATTATAAACAAAAATACAACGTTGGATGACCCCACTTAGTGATTACAAAGCTCTTGAACGCTCCGTCACAACAACAAGCAGTCAACAAATATATAAAAAAGGAGGAAAAGGGTGGGTATAAAAATACTCACTAAGCAACTTACTGGTAGGCTCCCATCGTATCCAATTCCTAGTAAGTTACCACGAGCTAATCTCTAGGCTCTAGGAAGTTCAGGCTTAATTCTACAGTTATTTAAGCTTCTCGAAAAGCATTGGAGTTTTGAGCAGCTCTCTTACATGTCACCGACCCCGTCAATTCTTGGAAGCCATTCACTAGGTTCTAGTGCATCGGATCTTTCGAACGACATATTTCATCATAAGGTGAACCAACCTTCTATTCTCATACTTAATAAGCTTTCATAACTATTGCAGTAAACAACCGATTTTCGTGCAACCTAATCAAATATGATTGGACCATATGACATCATTTGTGTAAGGTTAGTTGGCAACCCTTAACATAGGACCATAACATCACTGAATTTGGGGGAGCAACTCTACATGTGTCAACAAACTACTAAGTTTAGCCGTCTGGTCTCAAGATGGAGTTATGGCCGCATGACCTTGTTGAAAAGGTTTTGGGTTGTTTCCACACTCACTTGGGGCTACCTGTGTAGTCCTAAGTCCCCTCTAGACCTTTATCGTTGTTTGTCAAGTATAGAATGCTCGATCTACTAGAAATAGACTCACTTAGGTCACGTGAAAACCACTCTAGCTCTAGCGCCCTAATCTTAACTTAGTACATTCATGCATGCTTAATAGGGAGATAATGCTATCGATCACCGGAGGCATGGAAGAACATTATTGAAACATTCGTGCAAGCTCAACAAGGAGATAACTTTCATTAATCACTTCGAGCACATATCACAACATACATTCGTCCATTCTAGCACACGGAAAAGCATTAAAATTGACGTGCATCATAAATTCTCTTCCTATGGGCATTTTTGTAATTGTGCATAACATTTATTGTACACTTGTCCAAAGATGTCCATTTAGAATTCTATTCATGCATATTCTAATCACCTTAGGTAAGATATGCTAGCATGTCTTAGCGATACCTACAAGCATTACTTGAGAAAAGCCCTTTTGGCTACTTATTTGAGTGACTCGTGCCTTTCTAGCTTGTTTCTGCATATTAAAAGTTTCAAATTTTCAAAAAGTTCTCTAGTAGATTATAATTCAAGTCAAAATAAGTTCAGTATTGAAATTGTAGTAAAAAAATAGATTAATGAGAGTCGAATTGGGTGAAAGTACCTAGCTCACGTGCCTCATGCACCACCACGCGCGTTGAATGACTATCCAACCCTCACGACGCGTGTTCAATCCTTGGTTGCATATGAATTTTTTGTAATTGACCTCATGGTGTTATGTGGCGTCTTTCTATGCCGACGCGCACCTTGTCCTTTTGCTTGACGTGTGTCCTGTTTAGTGTGTGACACGTGTGCTCTCAGTGCTTGATGCATGTCTTTCCTTTGCATCGATGTTTCTTTTCCTTTTTTTTTCTTCGATGGTATCTTTTTCTACCTAACTCTATTCAACTCGACTTTCCAACAAAAGAAAATAAAACTCTAGGAGAGAAATAACTAGGCTTGAATTTGGAAAACTTACCGTTTTTTAGGATAATCAAAATTCTGACCTTTATTATGATTCAACTTCGACTTCCTTCACGGAAGTTGTGTGAAATCCTTCCTAGAGCAACATATTAAAATCTCATAACCTATTTCGAAATAAACCACTCGGATCTGAAGGACAACTGAAAACAAAAGTTTGAAACTTTTCCCTCTCAATTTTCCTCGTTTCTTGACGGATTTAAATGATCCAAATGTCTAGGTTGAATTTTCTTGACCTTCTGAACATCTTTTGTGAAGGAAGTTTGGCCAAAATCGAATTCTAGGTGGTAAAAAATATCTTTAAACTTCCGAAAGTGTTCAAAAGTTTCATTAACCCACTAAACTTTTTAAGAAAAATCCAAAAGCACTCTTCAATTAATATTTTCAAGAGATTCATTAATACCCCATCGAGGTGCACATTTACTTTGAGCATAAGTGCTCGTTACTTGTTTTTTATTTCTTAAAAGATCTCGTACCAATGGAGATAGTGTCACTCACTTATATATCTACCATCTTCTCCATAGTTAGATAACGTGAGACTCTAATAGTTTTCAACAATCCTCCCCTCGAACAAAGTACATCATGGAGCCATGAAACAAAACACATCATTTATTCGACACTTGATATTGAGTTTTATGTCCTAACACTTATAGTTTGTAAACAAAAACATATTCTATTTTCAATAAAGTTATTATTGATATTTATTTAGTAAAGATTGTTTTTGAATAAAGTGAATTTTACGATTATTAATCTAAATCCAATAAACTAAGA